AGTTCCGAAAAGTCTTGGAGACGAATGTTCCAGAGACGAAAATTCCGGCACTCAAAGCTACACCTTTAATAATTCTAAAGATCTATTGTGTAAAAATCGGTTCTACTTGACTTTATGTTCAAATCGAACTTTATGAGTCCATAGGAATTTTATGAGTCCAATCATAGGCGAAAACTCCGAGTTTCGCGCGGAGTTTTGCGGCACGCGCCTCGCGGGAGTCAACGGTCGCTGGGTTCTTGGTCGGTAACATAAACCTATCCCTTTTTCATCACCAGCTTTGATCTGACGACCTTCCCTCGTAGCTCACAACAATCTGCTTTTGCTTCTAAGCTACACCTTTAATAATTCTAAAAATCTATTGTGTAAAAATTTAATAAAAATTTTAATTTTAAGGTGATTGAGTTTTACAAACAAAAGATACGTGTTGCTTTCGACAAGTTAAATGTTTATGATTTACAAAAGGCTAAAAGGTTGTCGCAAATATTTTTAAAATATAATAATGTAGCACGTGGTCGTAAAGAGGGATGTGCGACGTGGCGTTTGGCGCCATTTTAGGCTTTAGTCATATTTTCCACTAGAGTTGCGCGAGATCGAGATTTTAGAAAAAATCCGAGACCGAGATTGACCGAGACTCGCATGACCGAGACCGAGACCGAGATGCAAAATTTGACCCGAGACCGATATCGAGATCCGAGATAAACCGAGATTCTTCAAAACTTTTTTTATCCACCAAAACCCATTTAAATTAATTAAATATCATCTAAATCATCATCAAAATCATCTGTGCCCTCTCTAGGGCGCTGAAAAAGGAGGAAATCTGGCTTATTGACCTTCCAAAATTCTCAAAATTTTTGCCTAAGCGCTGAAAAATTGAGTCTTAATTATGTCCATTTTTACTGGTCCATTTTTTACGGGTATGTACCAGGGATGGGCCGGGTTGAGAATTTGCAGGATCCTGTAATAGGATTGGGTTTTAAAATTTCAAGCAGGACAGGATCCTGCAGGATTAATCCTGAAAATCCTGAAATCCTGCCAATCCTGTCATTTTTTTTCAGGATCCTGTCCAGGATTTCGGGATTTTCAAAAAATCTCAAAATTTCTCTTTACGCTTGCGGCGCTGAAAATCAAAATTTTTGGTTAATATGTCGCAACTGAATTCGCTGAAAGTTGTTGGAACAACTTCCCCCATCACTGAGTCAACATCCCCAATTGTTGGGTCAAAAATCATGAACCGTGAGAATTATTCAGCACGGATCCTGTATCAGGATTGGGTTTTAAAATTTCATACAGGACAGGATCCTGTAGGATTAATCCTGAAAATCCTGGAATCCTGACAATCCTGAATACTGAAAAAAGGCAGGATTTCGGACAGGATCCTGAAAAATCCTGTGCAGGGTCCTGTCCTGTGCTCTAAACAACTAAATTAAAATGAGTTACAACAATATGCCAATAGCAAAATTTTAAATATTTTGTCAAAATAAAAATAAATCATAAGAAGGTCAATCTTTAGGGGTGTATACTGATCTCGGATCTCGGCGAGATTAAGTGCCGAGAATCTCGTCTCGGTTAGGTGGTCTCGTCTCGGCAAAACCGAGACCGAGATTGGAAAATGACCGAGATTCTCGTCTCGGTCTCGGTCGAGATATCGATCTCGCGCAACTCTATTTTCCACTCCTTTTGTGCACAAAAAAGCTAAAATTTTACACCCATAATGATAGAAATTTCTAAATTAAATCTGGGCTAGTCGTACACGGGTAAAATTAAACAAAAGGATATTGAATCTTTAAGTGAGGGAACTTCTTGCCTTTGCACAAATTTTCAGTTTTTCATAAACGTTATATGAGGATCTTTAAATTAAACTACTATCTCTGCTTACCTATGCGTACTAGTGATGTTCGAGTCTCTCGGTCTTGTTTCCAGAGCCGGGAAATTTCTCGGGTTTTCTGAGCTCTCGGTCTCAGATTTTTAGTATCGGAAAGCGAGACTAAATTTACACCCCTAATATCTGAAATTTTTTTAATTTTAATCTTACCTCTCGTATGTACTTTGATTTTAATTTTCTAAGGATAAGGGAAAGGAAAAAATTTTTTGTAATAGGTACGAAGACCAAAAATAGGACTGTATGAAGTACAATTAAGCATAAAGCAAAATTGAAAAAATTTAATATGGAAAATATATAATATGGAAAATCAACCCGTGACAAAAGAAAAAATAGAAAAGGTGAATGGAACCCATAACTTTTCTTAAATAATCCTCGGGGAATTTTTAAACCCCTCGTTGATGTGAAATCTGGAGTCTCTTTACAACTTTAATAAAAATTCAATAAAAATTTTAATTTAAAGGTAATTGAGTTTTACACAAAAAAGATTCTTGATGAATATAATATGAATGTTGGCCATTATTACATGAAATCATCACTTAATGTGTATCTTCTAGCCTTTGCCCGAAAGCTCATCCGTTCTTTTTTTGATTTTCATGGCGAAAACAAGTACTATGACAATCATGTTGCAACGTATATTTTATTTAAATCCCATAAAGTATTATATTGGTTTTTGGATTAATTACCTAATTAACTTTAGTGAAAAACATTTCTTTTGTTTTAATAATTTTTTAGTTTCATAAACAAGAAAAATAAAGTTTCAATTAGACAATATTTGGAAGCTTATGACCTTTTTGAGGCGTTGGCAGATAATATGTTGATTACAATAAAAAATTCATTTGGTAATTAATTTTTAAAATAATTTAATTTAAAAATCTTAGAAATTGATATATTTCCAAATCGGTTGGAAGGAATTGAAAATGACCTCGAGAATATTTATCCGGCAATAATTACCGACTTGGAAATTAGGGATCCAGAGAATCAAACTTTGATAAATTTTATTTATCAATATAAAGGTAATTTGTTGTTTATTTGTTCAGTTATTTGAAGTCAAGTCAAAAATAGATTTAATTTAAAACCATCACCAATTATTATTTTTAAGCTACAAATGAAGAAGTAAATCGTCAAGACTGACAAAAGTTTTATGGCAAATGCATGGATCCGAGAGAAAAAAACAAATTTAACCCATTCTATTTATACTTTAAACGCCTTGACGGCAAACTTCAACTAAAACTTGAAAAATACTTTATAAATCCGTTTTTGACAGAGGGAGAATTTGAAGAACATAGGACCAAAATGTTAAATCAATACATGACGATAAAAGGAGATGATTATGTTCATTACAATAATTATCTACCGCAACAGCGCGTTCATATTACAATACATGTATATTTTTTTGTAAATTATAGCGCTTGAACGGCGCCGTTTTGGCCAAGTACCGGAGCCATATTTTTAGCGATAACTTTTTCAATTCTTAATTTTAATAAATAATGTACCGATCGAAAGCTCTCGATGTAAGAATTGCTTATTTAGCAGGGTTACTCGATCAGATCACCATAAAAAAGTTAGGCCTGCTAAAGTTCAAAAATGAAAATAGCTCGCACTTATCTAAATTTCACTTTATGTAGATTCTTTTATCAAATCAATCCTGATGGATAAAATAATCCTCTCATCCATAGCCTTCAATTTATAAAATATTTATTCGAATTGGTTGAAAAACCCAAAAAGTTGAGCCCAACATATGTCTTTAGCACTCAGGACACAATGATTCCATGGCCTATATGTTGATGTTAATTTATGGGTTTTAAATCTAAAAGACGAAATAAATTCTGAGTTATTTTAATAATATTAATTTAAGGTACTTGCATATTGTGACCATAAATATGGCAAAAAATACAGACGTAATTATGGCGGTGGAGATGATTATAACAAAGGAAACTATGGTGGGAGTAGTGGAGGACAAAATTATGGCACAGAACGCGAAAGTGGTTATGGTGGAGTAACTAATTATGGCACAGGATACGGGGGTGGTTACCAAGGCGGATACCATGGAAATTACTGAGGAAATTATTGGCTAGAGATGTCATTCAAAATTTCCAAAATTATTTATCAAAATCAGAATTGCCAGATTTTTATATTTTCTTGGTCATGTTGAGATCAATAATTTTGAGATCAAATGTCTGGGAAAAGGTATTCTATATGTGAAGAAATCTTCAGAAATTCTATAATGATTATCGTTTATCAACCTATGTATGTAGTGAGGCAAATTTGGGTTGTGACGAAATCCGTTTAAAGACAGTGAGGGGATAATCATAATTTAAGAGCTCCAAGTTGTATATTCACGAAAAAACGAGTTTAAAAATCTGGCAAAAGTTTAAATGAGAAAATAGGAATTGATATTTTAAATGGGTGAGGGGCAGAACATGGAATGACAAAACACGGATCAGAGAAATAATTCATTCTTGTTTAAAAATCACAATATTTTCAAAAATAAAAATGCAGATTTTATCTCTGGACCGTGTTTTGGTCATTGAACGATTAATCGTTTGTTTTATGGTAAGACCGTGTTTTGTCTTCTCCGTGTTTTAGCCTGACACGTTTTAAGTAACAAGTAATGCTTTGCAGTTTTAAAATATCATTGTTTCTATTTCAAATTTAAATTTTCTGAACAAGTCCATTCATTTAAAAAATCTCCAGTATATTACTGGTATTTAAAGTGTTCAATGAGGCCGATTTAGCGGTCTTGGTAGGAAACACTAAATGTAGTTTTTAGCTTTATTTTCTGATATTTATCATTAAATTGTTTCTTTTTTTTTATTAAACAAATGTCGATAAATTGAAGAAAATTGTGTTTTTAATTTTATTAATCTATCGAAGAAATTAAATTGAGTCCTCGTATATATGTCTTTTCCGAAGGACACGTTCATCGGACGTCACTGGTCAGGTCGTTTGAACTACCTAGAAAGGGATAGGGAGGACAAAATGAAGACTGAATGCCAATGAGATTATGGGGAGTCGAAGGAGTTCTAATTCTAGCCTAAAGGGTTTAATCATTTACACATTTAAGTCTAATTGATTATGTTTATTTAATTTAAGTCGAAATATAATATAAGGTGAATAAATGCACGAAAATGAAATAAAAGTGAAGCACGAAATAAATTTAAAATATTATATAGCAAGAAGGGTTAATCTAAAAACATTATTAATTCCCAATCCTAAAGAACGGCAATCCAAACTGTGTGATACAGAAATGAGACTGAGACGGTTTGTTCACTTCCAGCGTTGTTTATGTAGTTGTAGTTAAAATGGGGCGTTACAATGGTTAATGGGAAGGTGGGTATGTTGTGTTGTGTATGGGCGTCAGCCCTTAAAGTGATTAGTATAAAAGCCCAGCCAATAGTTAGTTCGCTCTCCCAGTTTTAGTTCTTCTGCCTACCTTCGCCTTTGTATTTCTTTGTGCAATAAACGTTTCTGTTAGCTTCTCTACGTAAGCGGGGTCGTAACAGATTTGGCGCTCTTCGATCCAATCTTCGATCCAATGCAAAGTGTAGAAAAAGAAGAGTGGATGAAACAAAAAGTGAAGTTTGGAGAACTGAATGTTGAAATGATTGTTGATACTGCATCGCAGATCAATGTTGTCACTAAAGAAGTGTGGAATAGTATTGGAGTGCCTAAAGTTGAAAAAGTGAATTACAGTGGTATCGGGCTGGGTGACAACAAAGTGGAGATTGAAGGAAAATTTAGAAGCAAATTGAGAGTGAAAGACAAAGACGTCTCTATGGAGTTCCATCTAGTGAATAGTGAAGTGTGTATCTTGGGATTGCCTGGATTGAAAGAAGTGTCAGGTCGGTATCAAAAGCCAAAGTACCAAAAGTGGAGTAAAAAGAAGGCACCATACAAGATACAGAAAAATGCTTTTCCGAACGGGACAAAAGTGAAAGTGAAGAATACAATAAACGAAGTGGAAAAATCGAGTGGCTTCAGAGTGAAATAGTGAGAAAGACGGAATATGCCTGGAAAATCAAATTTTTTGACTAAAATGTCTAAGCGCAATTCTTCTGAATTTTCTCCATTAAATTTTGCAGCAAACATGACAAACAACGAAAAACGCAGCAAAATTGTTGAAGAAATCAATTTTTTAAATTTTGACAAAATTTCAACAGAAATGGAACAAGACAAGACTACACCAAATTGGGCGAAATTAATTATTGGACAAATGGGCTCTCTTCTGAAAATTGCGGCAAACCTACTTAATGAACAACAAAATTCTTATGGAAATTTTGAACTTCATCTGCAAAAACAACAGCAACAATTGGAGGAAAACGAGCGACTTCACAGCATAGTAATTACTGGAATGGAAGAAAGTAATAAACAAGATGCTCTGGAACGTATGAAGGAAGATCAGAACAAGGTTTTAGAAGTAATTAATATGTGCAAAGTTGACATAGGTTTGCCAAAAATTAAACTTTTTGCTGATGATGTCAAAGTATATGTTATACACAAAACTAAAAATGAAAGAAGAATACTTACTGATGCTATCAAAAATATTGAACAATGGGCAACTAAATGGAAATTAAATATAGCTATTAATAAAACATATATCATTTATCTTGGTAAAACTAATCCTAAAGATCAATATAAAATTTTTGATACAACTATAAATGAAGTAGATTCTATACGCGATCTAGGCATCATAATTGATAATAAACTTAAATTTCAAGAACATGTACAAAAAATTATTAGGGCTGCTTATATAAAAATGAATTTTGTGTTTAAAATAATCAAATCAAAATCTATAAAAACATGGCTTACTATCTATAAAAGTTATATAAGACCCTTACTAGAATACTCTCCTGAAACATGGAATCCACAACTAAGATCCGAAATTAACAAACTTGAAAAATGTCAAAAATTCTTTACAAAATCTTTACTTAGAAAATGTTCATTACCATATATACCATATTTACAAAGATTAGAATTTCTTAACCTTCCTACTCTCGAAAACCGTCGTAAAACTTATGATCTCGTTTTAGCACATAGAATCCTACATGGATATACACATCTTAAATCAGACAATCTCTTTAAAATATCAAATAGGAAAAAATGTTATTTATTATCTAAAAATCAAAATTCTAAGTCATCGAACTCATTTGTTAATAGGGTAACTAAGATGTGGAATGTTTTACATGAAGAAATTAGGACTACAAAAATAACCCTTAGTTTTAAAAATAAAATAAAAGCAATACTTATTCAATAGATCTAAACAAATCTTTTTTATTGGTATAATCTAAGAATTTTTTTTCCATTTCTATGTTTTTTGTTTTTCTCTCTCGCATTCGTTCCTTTCACTATTAACTATAGTTAAATGACTACTATTTTGCATATTTGAACAAGGAAATTTCAAATTAATAATTAAAATTTATTGTTTGGCATTATGTTCAAAAATACATTTAATGACAATTTATCCTATTGTCTCTTACTCAACCATACTATTTTTCTTTTGATGACTCATTAAATTAAAAACATAGTTTTTCTTTTCTCTTAATTTTTATTTTTGCTCAATTTATCTCTTTTAAATCAAATTTGCTTTTTTTAAGGACTTTTGAAAAATTTAAAACAATTGGGTAATATTTTTTGACTAAAATGTCTAAGCGCAATTCTTCTGAATTTTCTCCATTAAATTTTGCAGCAAACATGACAAACAACGAAAAACGCAGCAAAATTGTTGAAGAAATCAATTCTTTAAATTTTGACAATTTAAAATAATTAAATCAGTACGATTTCCTCTAGATTCATAAATTTAAAGCATCCTATTTAGTTAAAATGGTCGGTACGGAGTATATTTATTTAAAGAATAAATCAAATATAATATCAAATTTGTGTTTTTTTTATAATTTAAATTAGTATGACTTTATATGCTGTTTTTTCTTTTTATTTTTATTTTTATTATTTTTATTGTGCCACGCTACGACATTGTTGTCGAATTAAGTGGCACGCCCTTTCGATGACATTTTTTTTGTTGATAAATAAATAAATAAATAATTTAAGAGCTCCAAGTTGTATATTCACGAAAAAACGAGTTTAAAAATCTGGCAAAAGTTTAAATGAGAAAATAGGAATTGATATTTTAAATGGGTGAGGGGCATCAAGGAATGACAAAACACGGATCAGAGAAATAATTCATTCTTGTTTAAAAATCACAATATTTTCAAAAATAAAAATGCAGATTTTATCTCTGGACCGTGTTTTGGCCATTGAACGATTAATCGTTTGTTTTATGGTAAGACCGTGTTTTGTCTTTTCCGTGTTTTAGCCTGACACGTTTTAAGTAAAAAGTAATGCTTTGCAGTTTTAAAATATCATTGTTTCTATTTCAAATTAAAATTTTCTGAACAAGTCCATTCATTTAAAAAATCTCCAGTATATTACTGGTATTTAAAGTGTTCAATGAGGCCGATTTAGCGGTCTTGGTAGGAAACACTAAATGTAGTTTTTAGCTTTATTTTCTGATATTTATCATTAAATTGTTTGTTTTTTTATTAAACAAATGTCGATAAATTGAAGAAAATTGTGTTTTTAATTTTATTAATCTGTCGAAGAAATTAAATTGAGTCCTCGTATATATGTCTTTTCCGAAGGACACGTTCATCGGACGTCACTGGTCAGGTCGTTTGAACTACCTAGAAAGGGATAGGGAGGACAAAATGAAGACTGAATGCCAATAAGATTATGGGGAGTCGTAGGAGTTCTAATTCTAGCCTAAAGGGTTTAATCATTTACACATTTAAGTCTAATTGATTATGTTTATTTAATTTAAGTCGAAATATAATATAAGGTGAATAAATGCACGAAAATGAAATAAAAGTGAAGCACGAAATAAATTTAAAATATTATATAGCAAGAAGGGTTAATCTAAAAACATTATTAATTCCCAATCCTAAAGAACGGCAATCCAAACTGTGTGATACAGAAATGAGACTGAGACGGTTTGTTCACTTCCAGCGTTGTTTATGTAGTTGTAGTTAAAATGGGGCGTTACAATGGTTAATGGGAAGGTGGGTATGTTGTGTTGTGTATGGGCGTCAGCCCTTAAAGTGATTAGTATAAAAGCCCAGCCAATAGTTAGTTCGCTCTCCCAGTTTTAGTTCTTCTGCCTACCTTCGCCTTTGTATTTCTTTGTGCAATAAACGTTTCTGTTAGCTTCTCTACGTAAGCGGGGTCGTAACAGATTTGGCGCTCTTCGATCCAATCTTCGATCCAATGCAAAGTGTAGAAAAAGAAGAGTGGATGAAACAAAAAGTGAAGTTTGGAGAACTGAATGTTGAAATGATTGTTGATACTGCATCGCAGATCAATGTTGTCACTAAAGAAGTGTGGAATAGTATTGGACAGCCTAAAGTTGAAAAAGTGAATTACAGTGGTATCGGGCTGGGTGACAACAAAGTGGAGATTGAAGGAAAATTTAGAAGCAAATTGAGAGTGAAAGACAAAGACGTCTCTATGGAGTTCCATCTAGTGAATAGTGAAGTGTGTATCTTGGGATTGCCTGGATTGAAAGAAGTGTCAGGTCGGTATCAAAAGCCAAAGTACCAAAAGTGGAGTAAAAAGAAGGCACCATACAAGATACAGAAAAATGCTTTTCCGAACGGGACAAAAGTGAAAGTGAAGAATACAATAAACGAAGTGGAAAAATCGAGTGGCTTCAGAGTGAAATAGTGAGAAAGACGGAATATGCCTGGAAAATCAAATTTTTTGACTAAAATGTCTAAGCGCAATTCTTCTGAATTTTCTCCATTAAATTTTGCAGCAAACATGACAAACAACGAAAAACGCAGCAAAATTGTTGAAGAAATCAATTCTTTAAATTTTGACAAAATTTCAACAGAAATGGAACAAGACAAGACTACACCAAATTGGGCGAAATTAATTATTGGACAAATGGGCTCTCTTCTGAAAATTGCGGCAAACCTACTTAATGAACAACAAAATTCTTATGGAAATTTTGAACTTCATCTGCAAAAACAACAGCAACAATTGGAGGAAAACGAGCGACTTCACAGCATAGTAATTACTGGAATGGAAGAAAGTAATAAACAAGATGCTCTGGAACGTATGAAGGAAGATCAGAACAAGGTTTTAGAAGTAATTAATATGTGCAAAGTTGACATAGGTTTGCCAACCACTATTTTTCGAATGGGTATTAAAAAAATAATTCTTGTCGTCCAATAAAAGTAAAAATGCCAAGCAAGGCAGCGGTTCGGGAAATTCTAAGGGGCAAAAAATATATCATTAATAATAAAATAAATACAACCACACATTTTAATATACGGGTTAGGGAGTCCCTAACCGCTGCTGAGCTTAAATCTCGCTCAGATCTTGTTAAACAATGTTTTAAAATGCGTAGTGAGCACCCCGGTGCTGACTATGTTATTTATGCCTCCAATGTAATTTTAAGAAGTGAGATAGACAATTTTAAAAAAACTCTTCCAAAAAACTAAGAAGTCATCTCACTTCTCCTATAAATAAATATACTCTTAAACCGACTGTTTCCCATGAAAAAAATTCAAATTTATTTTTAAACAAAAAAATAAAAGGATGTCTTATAAACATTCGATCCTTAAAAAATAAAATTGATAATGTCTCCTGCATTTTAAGCGCGTATGATATAGATATCCTCTTTGTAACTGAAACTTGGCTTACAACAGAAACGCAAAATATTTTTAGCTTAGATATACTTGAAAATTTTAATATAGTTTTATGTAATAGAACTAATCGTAGGGGAGGGGGCTGCGCTGTTTTGATTAGAAAGCACATTAAATTTTTTCTTAAGCATTCTATCTCTAAGTTTAACTCTGAAATAATACATTTACAAATTCAAAATTCTAAATGCATAAATTTTATTCTTATATATAGACCTCCAAATACTAGCATTATTCAAACTAAAAAACTTTTTAAATTAATTGAATCTCTTATTTCTTTCAACTGTATCATATTAGGAGACCTTAATTTTGGATCTAAGGATTTGAATTGGGTCAATAATATTCCATATTGTAAAAACAGTTTAGGCGATCTATTTCTCAATTTTTTCAATTCTATGAATTTATCTTCAACTACACCTGGTCCCACTAGAAATAATGCATATTTAGATATTTGTTTAACAAATAAACCAAATTTATTTCAAAATATATATGTTGATGGGTCTCTGTTCAACTCTGATCATGATGCTTTAATCTTTGATTTATTATTTCCTGTAATCAAAAAAGAAATCAAACCAATAAAATATAGAAAATTTAATAAAGATAATACACTTCTATTAAATAGATTTCTATGCTCTGTTTTACCTATTATATCCGCACAAAATTATTATTTGGAAGATAAATATAATCACTTCATAAATAATATCTTAACTTCTCTTGATTTATATGTACCAGAAAAACTTATAACTAAAAAAGATCTTAAACATGATTACCCACCTCACTTAAAAGCATCTATTAAAAAGAAGGCTGAAATTTATAGGCTACTTAAAACTGATAAAATTAAATATAAAAAATTATATGATAGCATATCATTGCATATAAAAATTCAGACTAGAAACTTTCATAATAAAAAACAAAACGCTTTTATTACAAAAAATAGAAATTCTATTCATAAATATCTTAAAAAATTTAAATTTACTAATAATGAAATCCCTGTGCTTTTCCATAATAATAGATATGTAACGAAATCAATAGATAAGTCTGAAATTTTTGCTGATATCTTTCTTGAAAACTTTTCAAATACAAATACGCAATATAACCACGATATCAATGATAGCAATCAAATACCTGTTATTGAGGATATTGATTTTGACATAATTGATATTATCAATTTCATTAAAAAATTACCAAATAGAAATGGTACTTCACCTGACAATATAAATTATAAAATATTAAAGATAGCACTTCCGTCTATAGCTCCTGTTCTCTCTGAAATATTCAGAATATCACTAGATTCAGGTATATTACCAAAGATATGGAAAGAATCATTAATAATGCCACTATTCAAAAAAGGAGAAAAAACAAATCCTGAAAACTATAGACCCATTGCATTAACATGTGCCTTATGCAGAATTATGGAAATGGTTCTTAATAAATACATTGTTCAATTTCTGCATGATAACAATCTATTTAGTAATGATCAATATGGATTTATAAAAAATAGATCTACTACAACACAGCTAATCGCTACATTAGAAGACTGGTATGATGCAATAATGGGAAAAAAGAATATTGACTGTGTATATATAGACTTTAAGAAAGCATTTGACTCAGTGCCACATGATCTTTTAATCAATAAATTATATAAAATAGGTATAAGAGGAAAGATTTTAACTTGGATTTCATCTTTTCTTACCAATAGAACTTTTAGAGTCAAAATAAACAACTCGTTATCCAAACCTAGAAATATCAAATCAGGTGTACCACAAGGATCTGTGTTAGGCCCATTATTATTTTTGATTTATATTAATGATTTACCTGATATAATCCCAAATGGTATAAAAATTAAACTTTTTGCTGATGATGTCAAAGTATATGTTATACACAAAACTAAAAATGAAAGAAGAATACTTACTGATGCTATCAAAAATATTGAACAATGGGCAACTAAATGGAAATTAAATATAGCTATTAATAAAACATATATCATTTATCTTGGTAAAACTAATCCTAAAGATCAATATAAAATTTTTGATACAACTATAAATGAAGTAGATTCTATACGCGATCTAGGCATCATAATTGATAATAAACTTAAATTTCAAGAACATGTACAAAAAATTATTAGGGCTGCTTATATAAAAATGAATTTTGTGTTTAAAATAATCAAATCAAAATCTATAAAAACATGGCTTACTATCTATAAAAGTTATATAAGACCCTTACTAGAATACTCTCCTGAAACATGGAATCCACAACTAAGATCCGAAATTAACAAACTTGAAAAATGTCAAAAATTCTTTACAAAATCTTTACTTAGAAAATGTTCATTACCATATATACCATATTTACAAAGATTAGAATTTCTTAACCTTCCTACTCTCGAAAACCGTCGTAAAACTTATGATCTCGTTTTAGCACATAGAATCCTACATGGATATACACATCTTAAATCAGACAATCTCTTTAAAATATCAAATAGGAAAAAATGTTATTTATTATCTAAAAATCAAAATTCTAAGTCATCGAACTCATTTGTTAATAGGGTAACTAAGATGTGGAATGTTTTACATGAAGAAATTAGGACTACAAAAATAACCCTTAGTTTTAAAAATAAAATAAAAGCAATACTTATTCAATAGATCTAAACAAATCTTTTTTATTGGTATAATCTAAGAATTTTTTTTCCATTTCTATGTTTTTTGTTTTTCTCTCTCGCATTCGTTCCTTTCACTATTAACTATAGTTAAATGACTACTATTTTGCATATTTGAACAAGGAAATTTCAAATTAATAATTAAAATTTATTGTTTGGCATTATGTTCAAAAATACATTTAATGACAATTTATCCTATTGTCTCTTACTCAACCATACTATTTTTCTTTTGATGACTCATTAAATTAAAAACATAGTTTTTCTTTTCTCTTAATTTTTATTTTTGCTCAATTTATCTCTTTTAAATCAAATTTGCTTTTTTAAGGACTTTTGAAAAATTTAAAACAATTGGGTAATATTTTTTGACTAAAATGTCTAAGCGCAATTCTTCTGAATTTTCTCCATTAAATTTTGCAGCAAACATGACAAACAACGAAAAACGCAGCAAAATTGTTGAAGAAATCAATTCTTTAAATTTTGACAATTTAAAATAATTAAATCAGTACGATTTCCTCTAGATTCATAAATTTAAAGCATCCTATTTAGTTAAAATGGTCGGTACGGAGTATATTTATTTAAAGAATAAATCAAATATAATATCAAATTTGTGTTTTTTTTATAATTTAAATTAGTATGACTTTATATGCTGTTTTTTCTTTTTATTTTTATTTTTATTATTTTTATTGTGCCACGCTACGACATTGTTGTCGAATTAAGTGGCACGCCCTTTCGATGACATTTTTTTGTTGATAAATAAATAAATAATTTAAGAGCTCCAAGTTGTATATTCACGAAAAAACGAGTTTAAAAATCTGGCAAAAGTTTAAATGAGAAAATAGGAATTGATATTTTAAATGGGTGAGGGGCATCAAGGAATGACAAAACACGGATCAGAGAAATAATTCATTCTTGTTTAAAAATCACAATATTTTCAAAAATAAAAATGCAGATTTTATCTCTGGACCGTGTTTTGGTCATTGAACGATTAATCGTTTGTTTTATGGTAAGACCGTGTTTTGTCTTTTCCGTGTTTTAGCCTGACACGATTTAAGTAAAAAGTAATGCTTTGCAGTTTTAAAATATCATTGTTTCTATTTCAAATTAAAATTTTCTGAACAAGTCCATTCATTTAAAAAATCTCCAGTATATTACTG